AGGAATGCTGAGCATTCTTTTCTCCTTCTGCTTTTTTGATCAACAGCAGTAATTACTAGCAGTCATTAGTAAGACATGTACAGTCATTATCCAAAACCAAAGAATGGTCTCAAGGGACTTCTTAATTATACCTGATGTCTTTTGCTGAGGTAAACTTGTGAAGGAGCTGGGAAATGTCTCACGTAAGTGAGGTGATACTAGCAGTAGTGAGATGATAACAGTAGTATTACATGGAGAGAGGATGTGTGGGTATAGTCTTATCAGGTAGATCTAACTGGGGGGCTGTATACAATATATTTTCCAACACATGGAAGGCTAGTTCTCAGTTGTGTTTTTTGGTGAAGGGAAGATGAAGAAAACTAACACAAACTAAATAAAGCTACTGAAAACAGAGTATTCAGGGAAACCCCAGCTGTATCATTAGGGAGTTCTCCTTGTGTTGGATTTATTACTCTGAGTAGATGTTTAAAAATTGACTGTAAATCTACTTTTGCAACTGCATTAACACATCAGGAAACCTCACTGTGACAAGACTACTAATGAACTCAGTTACCTTTGCAACCATCGCTGCATAGGTCACATCAGCTCGCCACAGTTGTGGAATGGACCATCCAACCATTGGATCTGCTTCATCGTTGTATATGGCAACAGAAGCAAAATTTGGAAACAGCTTCTGAATTTGTTCAACCGCTTCTACTTCTTGTTGCAAGATGTAAAGAGAACTCCCACCTCCCTGCAACAATATTTCGTATTTGCTTAGTGAAAGTGAGCAAACAGTAGTAAACACACAGATATAACATAAAGACAAAAACATATTCTGAAAACATGTTCCTGGAATCGTGAGGAGCTGTGGGCCAGACAGTATTAGCATTTTTAACTAATCCATTACAGCATGTGCTGTTTACATGACCTCCTCCTAGAATATAAAATAGAAAAGAGGTAGAGTCGTCATTTTCCCCTGGGAACTAGGCAAAGGCAAATTTGCTTTAAGTTAAAGTCTTGCAACTGAACATCTTCAAAGTTTTGTTAGCATAGGCAGCGATGCTTCCTGCTATAGGCTGGACATTCACTTGGAAATCAACTTCATAAATCAGAATAAAATGGAACATGGACTGAAACAATTAAAAAAATAGCCTTAAACTGAAATCTTCGACTGACCTTCTTATGGAGAGAGATGTAGTCCAGCCTTACACCAGTCTCCCCCGTGAAGAAGTTGGTTCCATTGTAGCAATGACACAGAAGACTCCAGCATATGGGTGACTTGGGTAAGGGGTGGAAGGAATCCCCAGGCCCTCCAAATTTTAGTAGAGGACTGGCTGCTCTTAATCCTTCTGAGCAAGCATCGTAATAGTTGAGAAACCCTGAAGTCCAAGCAGATGATATATCATATATCAAAGATGATAACTCAAAACAGAATCTTGATCTAAAACTACAGGGAGATGTTATAACTCTATTATTGCGTCTATTGGCAGGACCTCACAAATCGGGGCTACTCTTTCCTAGGCACTGACAACATGAGAAGACATCAAAATCTCAGCTGCATTGACAAGGTTCTTCCAAAGGTCTTGCGAGGACAGGTTCCCAAAGCATGCACCTGTCAGCGAACAGTTTTCCTTTTACTCCACTCTTCATCTTCTTACCCCCAGTAACCTTACTTTATATCCAAATAATGAACTGTGTCTTCTTCATTTAACTTCTGTTTTCCCTGTTCTACTATCTCTATACTTACACTGATGTCCAAGCAGGGAACAAAGTATAGTCAGTAACATGACCTTAGCAAAACAGATTAGGCATACCTTTCACATTCCTTCTCTCTGCTATCTACCTTATTTCTTTGCCAGCATCTCTCCTTTCTCACTGTCACCCCTCCAACCACCCCACAAACCTGTCTCACTTTACTACACTAGTTGGTGCTCCAAAACATTCTTACCTTTCACTGTCATAGACACATTGTCAAAGTCATGGTGGTCTGGTTCATTCCATGTTTCAAAATTCCATTTAGCAACATGCTCCAGTCCATACCTGTCTGTAGGAGAGGCCTCATTTATCAGTAAGCTGCATATTCAGACAATGCTATCAATTAGTCATTGATCCAGACCATCCTATCAATTAGGGCTGGAGGTGAGGTTCAGCACCCAGAGCTACAACAAGGTATAAATAGTACCCATTTTTAATAATGAAGGAAATGTGATTTTGGTAGTCTCAAAATGAGCTCTCATTTTTGATAAAATGCAGCAATATTTGAAAAAGATGAAAGGTGAGAGGTAGGTGATGTGAATTACAGCTTTGTGGTTAGGGCACACAAGCAGCCTCAACTGAAGTTGAGGCTTTTGTCTCAGAGGTATTTGAAGCTGACACGTGGGAAGTGTTCAGGTTATCACATCCTAGTGCAAGCTGGTGGTTTACAACCACAACAACATAACAAAGTTAAATGTCAGTCCTCAGAGGCGGGCCAAATGTGCTACCCAGAATACACTACTCATTCAGGATGTTGGTCATGGATCAGCAAAAAAGGGGTTATTATGCCATTGTCTGTTCTGGCATTTTTTTTTTTCCTGTTCTGTGCTGAAATCTGGGGTCTTGAAATTGACTGCAATACAGAAAACTTTTTGAGGTAGGTAGAAGTGATTATAACAGAGTAAGTAACATGGCTTTATATTTTGGTTTTTTTGGAACTTACCTATGTATCTGCTGGCCAGAAGTGTAATTAAGTTTCTCCATCTTACCACCTGTTCTTTATCTTCAAAATCTAAAAAATATCCTGATGGATTCCCCATCAATTCAAACCCTAAAAAAGACACAAAAGATGAGTCTCCTTTTTTCTGAATGCTATCACCTTTTGATTAATGAAGGGGTTATTGTATTATCTGAAACAAACTTGTTAATGAAGAAGTATCATTAAATGGGCCTTCTTTCCTGTTTCTACATGTCCCTATCAGGAATATTCAGATTTGAGGTTGCTCATACTTGTTACTTGTCAATGACTATAGTAATCAATACTAATACTTACCATCATAAATTCAGGGCTCAGAGGGAACTTTAAATGTTGGATGTTTGCAGAAATTCAAGGGAAGCTATACCTTGAGTATCTGCTTCTCTGTCCCTTTTAAACACATGTTAATGGTACAAAGCTTTCTCCTCTTCAAGAGATTTCATTCCCAATTCATACATCTCAAACTGTTGTTGAAAGCAATGTAAAATAATTCTCTCTACTACTACCTGAAAGGGGGTTGTGGCGACGAAGGCGCTGGTCTCTTCTCCCAAGTAACCAGTGATAGGATGAGAGGAAATGGCCTCAAGTTGCGCCAGGGGAGGTTTAGATTGGATATTAGGAAAAATTTCTTCACTGAGAGGGTGGTCAGGCATTGGAACAGGCTGCCCAGGGAGGTGGTGGAGTCGCCATCTCTGGAAGTGTTCAAAAAATGTGTGGTGCTTCAAGACATGGTTTAGGGAACATGGTGGTGCTGGATTAATGGTTGGACCTGATGATCTTGAAGGTCCTTTCCAGCCTAGCGATTCTGTGATTCTGTGAAAACCATTGTGTTGTCTTAATTGCCCTAATAGTGTTTTGCTCATGCTGTTTACATTTACATGGATATGAGGCAAAGGTAAGTAGGAAAAGAATGTTTTTTTATCAAAATCAGCTTTGACAAAGCTCTCTAAGAATTTTCTGATGATGGCGCAATATAAGCAAACAGATGTAGCTGTGGGTAGGGAGCTGCCCTTACCTGGAATTAGCTTATTTTCCCATAGGCGATCCATAAGGTTATCCAAGGCAGTAAAATTGTAGTGAAGTTTCCCATTCATCACTCTGAAGAATACAGGTAATAAAAAGTACAAAAGTAAATGTTATAGCAAATGTAGCACTTGGTTGCAGATCATGGGTCAGATGGATGCCTTCTTTGGGCTCTCAAAATTTACACGTAACCAGGGTTCTTGAAATTGTACACAGAATTCCCTTCTCCAAAGTAATAACTGTTCACCATAAGCAAGTCATGTTTCTTGTCCAGTCCATGCCCTTATCTTACTCCAGCAGCAGCAACAGACCAATATAATGAACTTGCTTGCTGGATTTTGAGTTTTTAACAAGATATTAAGATTTCTAACTCTTTGCTGAAGTGAAATTTACCTAGACTTTTTTTGGCTAAGCTGTTTTTTCAGTTTCCATTTGATTACATACTGCTAGGCCAGCTGGCTTCCACCTTGTCTCATATGCAGTCTTTCTAAATGTTCTCTTAATTTGCAATATAAGATATAGCTTTTTTTAGTAGCGCTTCTTACCGGTTTATGTGCAGCTGAGAAATAGCTTTGTATTTTTCAAAGAATGCTGCATTTACACATAATTGTGTGCATAATGTCTGTAATTTTTACTTCATTGTTAGTATTTGCTTACTATTTGTCCTGTAGATGCCATCCTTTTACCCAGCTTTGAATACATGTGTTCAAAGACTTAGGAATAGCCCCATGGTTGCATCCCTTTGTGTCAGTGCATCTTTCAAGAGCACAGTAAAACCTGGGCATGCACCTGCATGGGAACACTGGAGTTCTTTTACCCAGGGGATGAAAACTGGCATTTGTAATTTACTTATGCTATATTTGAAGACACGCTTTAAATTTCTGAATGGCTCTTCCTGCCTGCTATCTAGTAAAAAGAAACACAATGCAATAAGTGGGTCAGTGTACAACTTCCCGTAACTTCTGAACTTGTGGCCTGATTTAACTGAAATCTGACAGAGCAGGAGAAGTTTTGCCAGTATGAACTGCCAAATAGGAATTAAAAAAACTTCAGTTGACAATATTCTGATAGTGTGACTTACTGCCATTTGGCCCAAGCCACAGCCTTGGCCTGGTGCCCAAATTCTGACCTCTGTATGCTCTGAGCAAAAGGCTTTGTAAGCACCCTTGAGATAAGTCCAGTCCCAGTCATATAGGAGGGCTGATCAGGGTCTTGCCAGCACCTCTCAAAGCTGATTTCTCCAGCCGTCCAGAGCACTACACCTGATTTTTCTGGTACAGTGCAGCCTCTGCCTCTGCTGTCTTGCCTACTCTTTCCTATGTACCTTGCCTCTGCTTGGGTGGAAAGCTGTACAAGTGAACTGCAGATGCAATGACCTAGGTATGATGGAAGGGGAGAGACAATCACTTACAGTTCCTGTAACCGATCAGTGCTAGCAAGGCATGCTGGGCACACAGGATAAAAAGTGAGAATGGGGCAGTTGGCAGATCTCTTAAATCAATGCTGGGCTCTGTGCTGAGATTCACAACTTACTTCTTTCTGAGCCTCTTAGATTGAGGCTCTTCCTCTGTGCTTTCTTGCCAAGGGAAGATTTCAGTGAAGAACCCGTAATACCAATCCCAAAGTTCTCAGAGAATTAAAGAAGGGCTGACAGAATTGCCTACTGAATAAAGAAGGGAACCGTGCAACCTGAAGAGGACAAAGTGCCATAAGCATCTCTGACTATCGTCTAGAACAGGAAAACAGGACAGGCAAAACAAACGCAACATATCCACTGTACCAGCTCCACCTGTGATGTAACCAAGACTCAGCACAATCTTAGGCCCAGAATGATCACAATCTTTCACCAAAGACCTGAAGCTGGCTTTTTTCTTTTAAAGTATGTCCTACCACCATGACAGAAATTAAGTCTGCAGCCACTGATGGGCTTGCAGTTCTTGCTAGAGTCAAATGGTGCATCTGTGAAAGAAGCAAATACCAAAAGATATTTATTTACTTTAGTATCCATAAAAGCATTTTAGAAGTTACTGTTGAACTAAAGAATGGCCATTTGGAACTGGGAGCGGGGGTGGGCTGGCTTAGACAGAAGTTAAAAAATAAGTCTGACAGTCCTATTCCAAAGTTCAAAGAAAAATATTTTGTTGTAAAAGGTAGCTCTGCTCCCTCAGATACATCAACTATTTCCAGTTGTACCCTGTGTCCTATTGAAATATTTGCTTACATGCACACTTGCAGTCTGCGAGCGTTAAGAATGATTAACTCTACTGCCTTGTAAAAACTTAGTAACACCACTTACATAATAGTAAAAGAACTGGTCTCTCACTGACTCCAGTCTAACGTCTACACAGTACTTACGGGTAAATAAGGCATTCTGTCTGATGCATGTACACTTAAGATCCCAGCACATCTACATTTTTCATCCTGTATCAATTAAGCGAAACCTTTAAAACAGAATGCCATTGCTAGCCATGACTGAAGTGAAGGTACATGGGATCCTGTGTTACATTTGTAAGTGCAGAAGCACTTCATATGTCCTTCGGCTGATCTGTCACTTTATGAGAATCTTTACTTGCTTGCAAATGGATTAGGCAGTATGCTCCTATTAATAAAATGATTACTTGACTGATAGGATCCCCACTTCCTCAGATCTTGATCTCGTCCTTACCCGTACTACTTTTCTGATCTGAAATTGATGCTTTTTTTATAACGTATCACTAGAATTTGGGTTGCAGGGTTGCATGCCATGTGGTGTCTGAAAGCCATGCTGACTGCTGCACGTGAGACACAGCAGGAACCTCACAAGCTGATATTATTTACAAACATTCTGCATGAGGAAGACTGGGACAACTGTCAGGCTGCTATCAGGAGTGCTATAAATATAATTTTAGGACACTGAGGACCAGATCAAAACTGTTACAGGCATGTGACAAGGTAAATCAGTGACCCAGGATAAATTCACTTGACATTGTCAAAGTTGTTCAAAACAGGTTTGTACATCTGACCTAGGTCCTGCTGGTGCAGTATCACGTACCTACGACTGGGGCCTTGGTAGCAATCTCACAGACTTTTACAGTCTTCAGTCTTTTTTTTTGCCTGCTCCTCCTCTGATCTCTCTGCCCTTAAGTCATGGTTTTGAGACACCACTGTCTTGATTTTTGAACACACAGAGGGCTATGTCCTTGTCATTTCATTTGAGGGCTTGCCAGATGGGCATTGTTCATCGTTTGCTGTTGGGCATTTCTGATGTGGAGCAGTGACCACTGTCCTGTCTGTGCCTGGCCTTCAAATGTTCCTCAGCTGGGCTTTTTCTGGGAGACTTGCCAGATAAGACCTTCCTCATCTTCAGTCATAACAAGCAACTACAATAAAGCAGGTTTGCTGTCATCCTAGCACCAATACCCTTTTAAGTCCCAGGCCTGAGACTGCTATACTCCAGAGACTGCTGCCTGCTGGTGAGGTGTCTCTCCAGTTTTTGTCATGGTCTCAGTCCCAGACTAATTTTTACAAGCTCCCTCTTGAGAGCAATAATTGTGCTGTGAACATGAAGAGCAGTGATTAAGTACAGATGGGACTCTGATGGCTGTCACAAAATCTTATTGCTTTCTTCCTTGGAAAGGCTTTTCTGGGTAAAAGGTTACAGGCCCATGTTAACAGCTTTCCACTGCCTCCCTTTACTGGAGTAAGGTTTTTCCAGTACGGAGGGAAATTCTTTTCAGGTGCATAGGCAACTAGCTTGCGAAAGTGTTGTAAGATAATCATGTTGTGGTTCTTACCCATGCCACTTTCAGCCTACCCTATCCATAAACTTAATCTCTTGGGAAGGCAGGGGTAAGCTAGCTTTGGCTGTCAATACCCTGCCTCACAGACAGATCTGCTCCAGTTAGCACAGCTGTGGATACTGGTCCTTAGCCTACAGCTACAGCTTTCCTCCAGTGCCCAGCATCTGCTGCTTCTCTTCTGCCTGGGTTGATCCTGTCCAGGCATATAGTCACACATCCTGGAAAGGAAGTGCACACACAGACATTGGACCAAGTATCTTATCTACAGAGAAGAGAGCAAGAAAAACACAGGCAGGGAGTGTTTCCATTCTGGATAGTCTTCAGTCAAGTATTGAATTTCCGATAAGATGTCAAGCTAACTTTATCAAACTTTACCATAATGTACTGAACAAAATTTCCTGGGATAGGAAGCCTTGTGGCTGACCCCTGTCAGTAGGTCACAGCCCACTTAGGAACTCAAAGGTAACATGCAGGATAACCATCCTCTGAGTTATTCTGTTGAAGAGAGCTTTGTCTGGAAATATCTATATACAAGAGTAGTGCCTTTCTCATCCTGACATTCTCAGTTGGTGTGGTCTCCCTTTGCATTTCCGGTGGACACAGTTACCAAGCACATCAGAGGCTAACATAATCCAGCTTGCTTTCACCAATGTCCGAGAACAGCCTCTTTTCTGCTAGATTGGCCATAGTGGTTGGCTAACACCACTTGCAAGGCACCAAAGTATCCTTACATCCTCACTGGGAGTTTCTGCTGGGAATGACTGCTTGCTTAGTGGCAAATGCAGCCAGAAAATAGGGACAGAAAACTGGCACAAGGTGTCGGCAGAGGAGAGGTGCAAATGGCACCTTAACAGTAAAGAAAATTTTTCAGCAGGGTATTGGCCGACCTCAGACTTGAAAGGTGCACTCCATGAGGGAGCCGCCTAAAAAAGACCAGGCTCCATGGGAGGTTTTCTGTATTACAGTCTTAAGGAGAAGTGAAGGTGCAGTCTAAGATACTACCCTATTACAGTGTCTGCTGAGATAATGATCATATTACATATCACTATTTATTTGATAGAGATGCTCAGTGGTGTGCCAGACCATCTTTGTCCAGCCTTGTAAGCCGGTTCCTGCAAGCATACGCTCCCTTGGCCATGGTGCCAGGATGTGGACCAATGGTAACACAGTCACTGTTGTTCTGATGGGTGTGAATATGCATATATTTCCCGCCTCGAGAGTAAAGCAAGAGTAAACAGTAGTTGCAGTAGGTGACTACTATCGGGAGCATCCTTAAATACAGTGTCCCAAGGAATT